TTTTTTGGTTTTACAGAACCCCCACCCCCCAGGAAATTCCAATCCCTTCTATGGGGGGAGTATGGATATTTTCTGGAACTGAACAATTTACAAAATGTATTTACCAAGCATCAAAGAAACAAGATATATGCAGATCAGGACTCAAAATTAAGCGAAGTGCACGCATTATGTGCCTAGTTTATGGCTCTGATCGCTGGGTGTCCAGTTTGCGGCCTTTCATGACTTGTTCACAAAAACTGACTTGACTTCCCATGATGTAGTTAAGAATATTCTGCACTACCTTATTGTCTGGGTGATCAATAATTAACTTATTTACCTGTGTTCTTCATTCTTTTCCTTCATAATTCTCTTATAATTAGTTACCTGTGTTCTTCACCTCTTTCCTTCAAACAACTGTTGACCTTAATCACAAGCCAACTAAACAACCGAGAGTACAGGGCTTTGGCCAGGTTGTCTCTCCCTTCGGCTGCCAGATTAACAGACTTTTGAATGACAACTTTCACCCCTTTGAATAAAACATTAACAATAAAAATGTTGATTTCATATATATATAACCTAACAAGCAAAGAAACCCAAGGCAAATTTGGCAGCTACCTAACTGTACATTTAATGAAATACATGTAGCCAAGATTCTTGCACGTATCTGTCTCATAGAAAAAGCTATTGCCTATCAGAATATGAAGTTTAAGGGCATTAATCCATGTTACAGCCGCCCTCCCTGAAAGGAAAAAAGATCAGAAAAACGGTAACAGTACACTCATGGATGCTATCTCCATTTTTTTCTTTTAGGGAGGGCGGCTCAACAGTAATGCAGGCTAGTGCATCAAATTCTTTGTCTGTGAATTAAAATGTTGTGGAAACCTCTGTGACTCCTTTAATTTGCATTTCTGTCCAGTAGCAATTTCCAAAAAAGAATAAAACTTGTCTTCAATTTCTGACTATAATATTTATAATCATCTGAATATAAAACCTTTATCAGTGTATATATTGAAGAAAGTCGTTTTGCCCCCTAAAATAATTGACGGCAGCAACAACAACAACAACAACCTTTATTTGCACTCTCATTCACATCTACTAATTGCACAAAATATAGTTGATAAAATTAGCAAGGTAGATAAAGCTAGCTAACCACAAGTGCGTGCACATATAAAAAGAAAGGGAAAGAAGGGGAGGGGAAAAAATGCTATAATTACTATGCTATTAGGGAAGTCTAAATAGTTAAATTTATATATGAGTATAAAATATTAATCAAGAGAGGCACACAATTAATAGCTAAGACAACTAATAACATGTAATAACATTAATATATATTATATAGACTATTAGCATAGAGCTAATAGTTAAAAAAAATAAATTGACCTTTTTGATAAGCTGTTCCTTTGACAAGGGCCTCTCCCATTTCATCCACAGACACACCAAGAAGAGAACTAGCTGAAAATTTAGAGCAATATCAGTACTCATGCCAGTGTCTTGATGTCAATTAAACTAAAATGTGTATGATAAACGCTTTTTTTATTCACTTGATGGGATCTACATGAAGTTGTGATATAGAAATTGAAAAAGGAAAAGGATCTTGTTCTTTTTTCCCCGCATTTTGGCCATCCGATCAGCGCAAAACCAATCGCTTTCCAGCGAAATTTGCTCCAAAAATGCCTGTGAGATTGGCTGTTTCTACCAATCATTTTCGTTTTAAGTGCACTGGTATTTAATTTTAAGCAAAGCAATATTCTATGGCAACAAACTTAACTTAACCTTACCACAATGGACAGGCTGCAGGTCTTTGACAAATGCTGAGTTTGATTGCTGACTTATTGCACCAAATGAAATATTTCCAATGTGAAGGACCGATGCCAAACACTTTAAAATATTAGTGATTTCCTGCAAAGAAAGGCATGACAGACATGTATAAAAAAAAAATCCATGACCCAAAACAGCTCAAAAATCGAGCCCCTTAGGGTAGTGTGTGAACCCCTGGGAGGGGAAACCCCTGGGACTTTCATGTTACAGGTTGAACATGCTTATCAGATAATTTGAATTAAACCCCTAAAGGAGAACAATCTGGGTGTGGCTAAAGCTTTAATTGGTTGACTCCTAAAAGATACCACTTAAAAACAGACATGGCAGTGTTTTTTATTATATCTTTGAGAGCAACCCTAACAGATACCTGAGTGCGGTATTTTGTCCTGAACACCATAAGTAAAACGAGACCATAAGTCTTTAATTTACATCCCTATATGAGACGACTTGTAAGCTTGCATCCCTGACCTTTTCACATGGGGGTCGCTCTCCTCAGGTACAAACCTAGTTTATATATGGGAGTACACCTTTCACATCCCTCATATCAAAGTTTGGGACCAATACTAGAGAGCTGTTATAATTGATGACAAACCTCTTCATCATCTACTTCACAATGTATAACTGTTCGATCAGCAACACCAATCTTTATCCTACCTCATTAGTAAAGCCAACAGCTTCCATATAACTTAACATCTTTGAATACTTCTCACTTAGAGTTGCCTTGCTGGCATCATCCTCTGGAGAAACGGATGGGTCGTAGGCAATGTACCTTCAGTTGTTAAGGAAGGTTTAATTTTAGTCAAATGTTTCCGATAAATGTCAGTTAATTAACATGTATTGGCACACCTTCGTTAAAATCTTCAAATGATATATGGAGAGCAATGATTATTGCAGCTGTAATATAGCCAGAG